ATACACGCGCACATGTATTGGGGAACAGCATGGTGTCTGGCTGCAGAAAAAAAAAAAAAAAAAAAAAAAAAAAAAACAAAACATGCCTTTGGAATTGCACAGTTAATTCATTTAACCCAATGGGGTTACATCAATTGGGAATCGCTGCAGGAAGTGGGTCTCTGCAGCTTCCCAAGCACCAGGCTGGGGGCTTGCATGTTGCTCCTCCTTGCATCCTTCCTCCAATTCATTTATTCACAATCCAGGTGGCTCCCATGACAGTTCATTGAGAGACGAGAGCATCCTGAGGTTCTTTTACAAGTCATGGTCCATCCTTCTCTCTGTACGCCATCCTTCCACACCAATCCTCACAGTGGAGCCTCTAACAGCTCCCCCAAGGTCCCTGGGGGTTGTGAGGGCACACAAGTTTACACAACTCAGATGGGCACCCTGGCACCGAGGATCTGCAGCCAGACACCATGCTGTTCCCCAATACATGTGCGCGTGTATCGCTCTCCAACATCACCCCAATCCCGACCACCCCCACCTCACAATTCCCCTACCCCAGAGCTGCTGGGATAGGACGGGGCCTCCTGCAAGGAGGGGGATAGGGTAACATGGCAGAGGAGGAAGGGCCTTGGGAACGAAGGGGAAGAGAGCATGCATGAGAGTAACAGTGATGGGGAGGGGTTGGGGTGTGGGGGGAGAGAGAGCGAAAGAGCAAGAGAGACAGCGAGAGAGAGAGCGAGAGTGCGAAATGAAAGGACACAGGGAAGCACTAAGGTGAGGCAGGTGTGTAGGAGCCAGAGGAGGTGACAGAGATAGGGAGGGGGTGTAGTGTGCTAGAGGAGGTGACAGAGATAGGGGGGGGTGTAGGGGCTGGAGGAGGTTACAGAGATAGGGAGGGGCTGTAGGGGCTGGGGAAGGTTGCAGAGATAGGGAGGGGCTGTAGGGGCTGGGGGAGGTTACAGAGAGAAGAAATGGGTTTAAACAGGAGACAGACAGTTTTGTTGGATGAGTTTCAGTTGAGTTAATGTCTTTTAAGAAAGTCCAGACTGAAGGCAGAAAAAGGTAGGCCCGAGGAGGAGGTCCTGCTTCCTGCCGGGGCTCGGTTGTTAAGTTTTGCCGCTCGATGGAGGAGAAAGCTCCCAGTGTTGGGTTGCAGGCTCAGGTCCAACAAGGACAACCCAGGTTTCCATCGCTCTGTCCTCCTCCTGCTCTCTTCTTGCGAGCACCACCACAAAAACTGCACACGACCAGCCTATCCTCCCTTATACCCTGTGTACACTCTCGCACACCTGGACACGTACACACACACACACACAGAGTCAAAACACCCCTGACCCCAGGCCGAGGTGTGTGGGTATCCTTTACTTCATTTGCCAGTCTGCCTGGTGCTCCAAGTGTGTGGATGGGCACTTTCCTTCCAACACGCCCCATCGGCAATCACCACTGGCTGCAGGAGGCAGGAGACGCTCGAGCTGGGTCTCTTTTGGCTCCTCTGCCAGCAGGAGGCGGACTGGCCCATAATTTACAGGCCGGTTGCCCGGGCGATGGCTCTCCCTGCTAGGCCTCAGGCCTCAACCTGGAGGGTAGAAAGCAGACCTGGGGGAGAAGGACGGCTGTTGGTGGGCCTGGTGAGATTTGCAGTGTGTCAACGATGACTCTCTGGAGAGGCAGCAGTTTTAAGTCACTGAGAGAGTTACCCACCAAGCCCCGACCAACACCTCATCGTTGGGAATTAAGAGAAAAATAGAA